GAGCTACCCAATACAGGCTATTCCCGCCGCAAGCGACCGTCTGAGAGAGGAGTCATTGAGCGAGTATGGTTTTGACGATGATCTGGACCCAGACACGCTCGACGCTCTCGACGCTCTCGAACAAACTATGGCGGAATCAAGCTCATCCCAGACTTATGATGCAGAGAACGCAAGAAACGTGCTTGTGCCAGCGGTGGGCCAACAAAGTGGGTTTAACCAGCTAATGGATCTTGTACTTACTGACCACGAGCTAGGTGGCCCTGGGTCACAGTCCATCGACTCGAGGCACTTTTCAAGTAGATCTCAACCGACAAAAGCGCCTGCACCTGCTCCGCCTCTCAAGCGTTCTGCGACGACAATCGCTGCCGGACCTCAGCCGCCGAAGCGCGCACGCGGCGAAGAAGGCTCTTTCAATACACGCATGCGAGGTGTTCTCGACAAGTTCGAGGACGACATGACGTGCCCGATGTATGCCTTTCTTTGTTTTACTGACGTGCGAGCTCGATCTGACAACATAATGCCTCACTAGCTGCTTCGACATCATGTGCGTGTATTCGAACCACCTGCGATGGAAGGACACTCGCTGACAGAACCTGCATTTAGTGCACTCGCGTACCTCACCAACCCTTGTGGGCACTCAACATGCGGCGACTGTCTCGCGAGTTGGATTGACGCAGCCAAGTTGCCGACGTGCCCCCTCTGCCGCGAGGTCATTGACGCAAATGCACCGCTCATCCCAAACTTCTCTCTGGACAACATGCTGGAAAAGCATGTCTGCGCCCTGAGCGATAGTGGCGCGAAGGATTGGGCTCCGGGCGGGTCGAAGTTCGAAGAATGGACGGCGCGCAAAGCGTACGTGTCCTGCCGCGTGTTTTTGATTTCTTCCGAGCTCAATTACTTCTCCGCCCGCGGGCCTCACTGTATTCTCTTGTACGTGCAATCTGACCCAACTCCTCGTGTCTAGTGCGTGCAGGGCGAACATGGCCAAACGGCGCGCTGCGAAGTCGACGGCCAAGAAGGCAGTACAGCGCGAGGAGACGGAGCTTACTGTGGGCGGCGACGATCCGGAAGACGAAGACTACGAAGGATCAGACGGTACTGGCTCTGACGGCGAACAGGCATTGGAGGGCTCTGGTTCAGATGAATCTGAAGAAGATTCTGCTGAGGAGACGGAGGCTGAAGAAGCTGCGCCTGGGCCGTCCACACGCGGAAGAAATGGGCAACGCGGACGCGGACGAGGGCGTGGGCGTGGGCACGGGCGGAGGCGACGGGGGAGGCGGTGAATAGGGGTTTAAACGCGCACAACACGAGGCCATTGATGCGGCTTGCCAGTTTCGCTCGCGAGTTCGCCTCGCGGGCGTCTCTTCGGCTCCTTATTTCGCCCCCGTCGCGCATGATTATCTCCTTGCCTTCCCGCCACGATCACGACTTTCTTACGACCGCGACTTCCGCGACTTTCGCAACGACCATGAGCTGGGTTGTCAACGACACATTCACTCCCGCGCTTGGCGCCGCCGCGACTATCGATCTTCCCAGCGGTTCGCACTCTGGCGGCGTGCATCTCTGCCTTCGCGCACGACTGGGGACGCATGCAGTGGCTTCCCAACTTGCGCGTGAGGCTGTGCGCGTACAGGCGTGGACCAACGCGCCCGTAGAGGGCACCAGCGATGGCCAGTGGGCAGCTTATGATTTCGCGCCCTCGTCTCGCCGTGTAACCGTCGCTAAGGAGAATGAGTTCGCGCTGGACGCACCGGAGCAAGCTGATGACGACGGCAACGAGCTCACACTCACTATCCGCCTGAAGCTGCGTCCCCTCGCCCCTGGCACGGTCAGCGCCGAGTTCGCCGTCACCTACCGTTTGACGTACCCCGACGGCGGTGTATGGTGGCTCGGTTCGCAAGGCCACGACGCCCGTGTGCTACTAAGACGCGCGGACCCGTGGCTCTCTGCTCCCGGCGAGCAAGATGTGTATAGTGGCGAAGGCGAGATCTTCCGTTCCGTCGGCATGAAGGAACCCTGGGGTTGTTGGGCCATTTCAGACGGCCAGTATGTGAAGTCCACGTATCATAGACAATCTTGGACTGATCGCTTCTCAGTGTCGAGTATCACCCTCACGGCCACCTCACACCTACCGACGCCGCCATCCTAGTGCTCGTACCTGCCCCTTCCGATCGTACGCTCGCGCAGCACCAGCCTATCATAGTGCATGGCGCACAACTCTCTCTGGACGCTCATGGTCTTATCCGTTGTGCAAAAGGCACTCGCGCACGAACCCGCGTGTATCGGGCGATCAGCGCCGAGCGCGAACTTGCTCTCGCCCTCCCTGCTTTAGGCTTGCGCTGGCTAGGTGTCTGTGCTGGATTCGCGCTTGTCGCGATTCCGCCTACAAATGGTGCCGCGCGTGTGGCGCTCATTCCTTTGCTTGCGCACGCGGGCTCAGATGCCGTTGTCTCGCTTGATCTTGCCGCGTGCGGCTTCGACAAGGTCGAGGGCGAGAGCGCTGCCGGATTTGCGGTCTTCAGCCCTCTCTCGCGCAGGGTCCTGGGTGTCGATGGCGATCAGATCATCTTGCGCGTTGGCCCTTTCGGCGGAACGGCGCTTGCTAGTGCGATGCATGCTCTACCTGTTGTAGACGGCGTGAGTGGGCGCGAAGGAACCTGGCGCGTCGCAGTGCTTACTCCACACGAGCTCGTGCTTTCTGTGCCCGAGGAGCACGCGCCCGAGGTGGAATACTCGTTCGCTCCAGAGAACAGCACGCTGTCCGGCGCGACGCTACATGCGACCTCGCATTCTTACGACTCCGATCTCGAGCACGACGACGGCCCTTCATCGCAGCCATGTCCGCCGCCGGAGCTCGACATGCCTTTCCGCAGGGCCTCTCCTCCGCCGACTCACGCGCGGGAGACCTCAGCGACGCTCGCTACCCAACGCGAACACGACCCGTCAATCTCGCACCGACTTGTCGCATATATCGTGCCTCTCTTATGGCGCACGCTCGCGGTGCTTCTCCGCGCCGTGCTTGCGCGGTTATTCTCTGCCGTGGGGATGCGCCCACCTAGGCTACTCATGCAATTGCTCAGCCTGTCACTGCCTGGATCGCCCAGCGAACGTACACCGATCTCTCGTGCGCAGTCGTACTCTTTTGTTCAGTCTCCGGTCGAGGAAGTGCCAGGAAAGAAGCCCGATGAGGCGTCTCCGCGCGAGATTAATACACCGACGCCCGACCGGTCGTCTACGCCTGTCCGTGAACCGACGCCAGCTCGCACCTCTACGCCGGCGCACCAGCGCAAGCGGGCGCTCTCAGACGCGACGGATGTCACCATCGCGCCTCCCCCGCGCGCATCGCTCAAATTCCGCGTACCCGATGGCCCACTCTCGCTTTTCGCCCTGCCTGACGAGACGCTCTTTACCACCTCGGACGAGAAGATCAACGGCGAGGAACTCGGCGGGCGAGCGCTTAAGGATGCCGTGCGCGCGCTTGAGGCCGCACTTGATGGCGCGGCCATTGCCCTTGGCCCGGGTGGCGGCCCATTCGCTCGTGGTGCGGCGGTGCTCGAGGGGCAGGTGCGGGAAGGGAAGTTGGAGGTTTCTGGTCATGGTTGCTCTGTGTTCTGAGGCATCCATTCATTTTTGCCGTCTCATATGCTCTCGCATCCGTTTATAGCTCTTGCGTTGCTCTACTCGACGTTGCACGTCGTGATTGTCTTTGTATGTATTATTAGACTCCCGCCACCGGCGCTGGTGCCGACGCGCTATGTGAGACTGTAGCCTTACGTTTTGCGAGTGTACGTAGATCTGATCCCTTGATATACGCGACTACGTCGTTGCTCTTTTGAACATATTTGTCGAGCAGATGGCACGGGCGAACAACAAGTGGAAGAGTATGCTGTCCGCGCCTCGTCGGCTCACCTACAGCAATTCTCAATGGGGAAAAGAGTAAAGTGTCGGGCCGCGATTCCCAAGTGCGTATCAATCAAGACTCAGGTGCAATTTCCAATGCCAGTGTCGCGCGCACGCGTAACTTGTTCCCGACACGGACAGGTATTGGAAAACAGTGGCCGATAATAGCCAGCGATCAGTGGTTTGTTCACCATTTATATACTGGGCATGGGCTGTGGCACGCGAACCTTCAACGCTCCGATTCGTTTGCGGCAGATATTGCCCGTCCCGTTTACACGTTCGCTCACGATCGGGACGGCCTTACGGGCGAGTGGTGATCCGGAGACGCGAGAGCGCGCATCAGCGAGTCCGCAAACTCCGTAGAGAAGTTACAACTATTTCACAAGTGTGGTGGGGCGAGGCAATACGGATAGATATTTTCTCTCCCTCCCCCTTCCCGTTCAATCGTCGTCCTCACCATCGTCCTCGTCCCTGCGTGAGCGACGCCGCGACGCCGCAGTGTGTTCTTCGAATTCGCGGGAGGCGCTCGCAAGTGTTTGCGCGACGAGGTCGTCGAGTCTTTCCGGTGGAAGATCAAACTCGGAGGAGCGCACGGCGATGGCGTAGGCGGCTAAACGCGTGTTTATATGAGCATCTCGACGAGAGCGAACCCTTATAGAACGAGAGAGGCACACACCGTCCTCGATCTTGACAAGACTCTGAGCTGTGACGCGCTGTTTCTTTCCCAGGTCGCGCACGCCGGGGGAGTAGCGCTCAAAATCGGCTTTGACGGCCCGCACAAACGAGCACACGTCGGCGGCGGTTTGGCGACCGCCACGGCGGGATATGGCGGATATGGCGAAGCGCATGAGTTCGCCCGTGAGGTCGGAGAGACCGAGAAGGTAGTCGGAGAGGGTGAGCGGGAAGAACTACTGTGTGTCGGCCGTGAGTGCTGACGTATGAGCAGAAAAAGAGAACCGCATATGTACCTGACCATCGTCGTTGGTCAACGACTGTTGAACGTCTTGAAAAGTGAGGAGGGAGCGGGTGTCGAGATAATGGGCAAAGGAAAGGGCCTCGATATATTCCTGGAGACCGGGCGAGACGTTGCCCTGGTACCTCCAGAATCTGTCGCCTTGGAGGTCAGGTTTGAGTGCGGCAAGCATGCGCTGTATCTCCGCCAGCTTGGGGCGCGCGGCAGCGGCAGCGGTGTTCGGGTCCGGGTCGGGGAGGGTCATCTGGCGATGGAGCAGGAAGACGACCTTCTTTGAGAGGGCGGTGATATCGCGAGAAGCCTTTATTATTCGCTCGCGCCTGTCATTGTGTTCGTCGAGCTGATCTCTGAACGACTGGAAGCCTGCACGGGCGCTCATGGGCCGGGGCAAGGAGGCGTGTGAAAGCTGTGGGAGGCGGGGAGGAGGGGAGATCGAGGTTAGCGTTAAGCCAGTACAAACAAAACACCATGGCCTCCTCGCTCTACGGGCCGAAACCGGGCTGCACGTTCTGCGGCATCGTCCAGCAGGGCCAGCGCAGGGACTCTGCGCTCGACGAGCCGTTCAGCGCGTCGAACAGCAACTCGCAGTACGAGATCCTGCACAAGGACACCGACTTTACCTGCTGGCGCGAGAAGAACAACCCGGTGTCTTCAAAGGCGCACGTCATACTGGCCTTCAAGTATGTCGCCCTGTATGTGTATGTTTGATGTGTACTTACTTGTGGAGGACAGCCTGCATGTGCCGTCGCTGTACACCCTCGTGCGTGGGCGTGGAGCCGTTGCGTGGACTGGGGAGCTGACCGTCTGCTAGTCGTCGAGCGATCTGCCGCTGCTGGCCCGGCTGCGGGAGCTGGCCAATAGGCTGCTGACCTCCTTCCAGCCCTCGTCCTCGCCCATGCTCTCCCCAAATCCCGCCCAGCCCGCCCACTCGCCCAGGCCAAACAGCTTCTGCATCGGCTTCATCGCGCCCCCCTTTTACGACTCGAAGATCCCGGTCAAGGACCACCTGCACGCGCACGCCTACATCCTCCCCGCAGACAAGCTCGGCTGGCTCCGCGCTCTCGCTTACTCGGGCCTCGCCTGGTACGACATCGACGACCTCATCGCAGAGATCCGGTACGCGTTTCCTCACTCCTATCCCCCCTATCCTCACCCCCATCACAGCGAATCCGTATCCAACAACCGCGTCCGCTCCGGCGGCTCCGGCAAACACGCCTCCAAACCCCGCGCGATCGACCGCGTGCCCGATGCTGGTGCACGCGCCGGCAACGCCGACGGCCTGGAGACAACAGACCCCTCACTCGCGACCGAAAGCCCTCGAGCGTCGGACGCCGAGTCTGGGCTCATGCGGCCCAGTACAGATTCGACGCTCACCGCCGGCTCCTCTCGCACCTCCACACCCCGCAGTCCCGTTGGCGCCACCAGCCCACCTGGGAGCCCGTTCGGCCGTCCGGGACCCAGTAGACAAAACTCTGGCTACAGTCGCGCGGCGAACGGCAGCACGCCGACCCTCACCGCCAGCGGCGACATCCCACATCTACAAGTGTAGCACTACAACTCGCGCCGCGGATGCCGTCCCCCCGGGCTTTCCGCAGTCCCATCTGCACCTCCATCTTCCGTCGGTCGTTTCGACGATCATTGACATTTTCCCCCTCTCCACATCTCATCTGTGTGTCTTTCGTGCCGTCTGTCTGCATATACCATCGACTGCGTACTAATATTACACGTCCGCAAACATTGCACTGTGAATATATTGTTACATTTGGATTCCATTGGGTCTCTCTCAATATATCATTCGTCCTTCGGAAATCATTCCTTCCGTCCGCCCGATATATGGGTACATCACACGCTTTCTCCAGCTTCTCATGTCCTGTCCTCTCGTTCGTTCGTCTTGGCACTGATGAGCGGCAGGCCTCATGCATCTGTGGAGGAGGATCGGCGTCATTGTGTAGCATGCAAGGTGTAAAAATGGACGCACAGTAACTCGACCCTGTCAGTAGCGTACTCAGTTGCCCGAGTTGCTCCTCCGTAAACCTACGCGAAGGGATCAGTCTTCCGCATGGGGACAAAGAATGGGAAACTCGGGGCATACCGCTTCTCGCACTCCGCCCAGACGTCGAAATGGGTCCTCTTGAAGCTCGCCGCGGTCCTCCTTACAGAACTCGAAACAGGGATCGGATCGAACGTGTGTTCTGCAAGCACACCCGTGAGTAGCTCGGGCATCCACCTCTCGACTGTGTACGGGTAGCTCTCCACCAAGGCGCAGATGCCCAAGATCGCCGCGTGTCTCCTACGCAGTGCATGAGGATCGCGCAGGGGCGGTCGCGGAAGCGGAGAACGGCGTAGAAGACGCAGGAAGCGCTCTTTCAGTGTGAGTTGAGCGCGGCGCGGCGAGAGGCGGAGGACGCCTGAGAGAGTGGTGGCGGCCATTTCCCGTACTTCGACTACTTCGTCGTCCAAGCATTTGCAGAGGACTTCGAGGATCTCGGTCGTCTGTGCATCGGTGATGAGCGGTACTTGACGGAAGTAGAACACTGTCGCATGGCGCTCAGTGAAAGGTTCATGTAAGAGAAGACGATCGAGTGGAACGCACCCTGAACGAGCGGCAATGCTTGCAGGCGCACACGCCACGACGGCGACTTTTGGATCGCTTCGAAGATGGCATGGAGAATGGGCCCGACGAGCGCGCGCGGTGGATTCACGCCACACATCCGGACTAGAAGCACTTTTGCCCGCTTGCGAAGATCGTCATTATCGTTCACTATTGAACGAGACCGTCAATCAGCGGCCCGTTCAGAGAAGAGGATGAACACGTACGCTCGGTGAAGCGAAAGATCTCTGGCATAAGCGGCACGATATAATCGAAGACGCTAACGGCGTGTGTTCCGTGCACCATCTGGAATAACCACCTGCAGACACTGACCCCGACACGGTCGTATTGGCTTTGGAAAGCTCTCGCGCCACTGGGCCGTTCGACGCGCCACTCGGGGAACTTGGCTGCAAGCTCCTGTATCCGCTCGATATGGTATATGCCTCGGGAACCCATGATATCCACGTCCACTGACAGAGTTCGGCACTCGCGCACGAAGATCTCGGGCGTGGGCGCGCTCGGTGTAGGAGCCCACTTGATCTTGTCGGTGAACGTCAAGAGGTCGCTGATGTACGCCCGAACATCGTCATGCTCGCTCGCCATCTCGCTCCATACGCGTTGCACAGCGTCGTCCGCCCAGGCATTGAACTTCCACCCTTGCTCCTCGTAGAACGCGCGGAAGAACGCGAGCGCTTTCACCGCGCGTAAGCTGGACTCGCCATTGTAATCCGTGGACTTGAACTCGGATAGCAGGTGATCAAGGAGCTCCTGGCGCCCTGGTCGCCGCGGGTCTTTGTGGAAGAATATGTACTCGAGAAAGCTCGTCCACACGGGCAACGTATCCGTCTTGATCTGGGTGCCCAAAGCCGTCTTGATAAGTGGCAGCGCCCAGCCCCAGAGTTCATCTGCCTTCGAGCGCGGCCAATGCTTCGCCCCGCTGAGGAGACCGGCGAGTAGCTCAGCGCCGCCACGTTGCTTATTTTGGTCTTGTTTGGCAAGTAACTCCTCGATGAGCGCGCGCAGAGGCTTCAACGGCTCTCCCTCGAGTAGCTGGACAATACTCTTCACGCAAGCCATGTTGTCCAACGTGACAGTATCCGCGTGGTTTTCGGCGGCATAATGCACGCTTAACGCGCGCCAAAACTTCTCATTCTCAGCGGCAGCACGCACGGCCGTCAGGGCAGACGTGGCATCTGCGCACCATGGTGCAAGCGACGGCGCGGTGCTGTCGGCGAGGCGGTACGCGGTGATATTTGGTCCCCATGCAACCCAACCCGATGTCGCGCGATCGACGAGCGCAAACTTCGAGCCCACGCCCTCCAGGTCGAGTGGCTTGCGGAACTCAGCTAGGAACCGAGCAGTGAACTCTAGCGCCGGTTCCACAATCGCGAGCTGGCCCTTGAGCGGGTCACGGTTCCGTTCAAGGACGAGGTCTTCGGGGCATATCGCGAACGTCCTGAGCTTAATGTACCGGGAAACCTTCATGATAGCGCGTTGCGAGTAGTATCGCTGTAATCCGATATGAGCCATGCGCCAAAGAGAATATGGGGTACACTCACAAGTGTCGGTTGGCTATCATGAGCCTTCTCGAGGAAGTACTTAACATGCCGTTCGCTGGTGGGTGCATCCTTACGTATCATTGTACGTAGACAGCGGGTCGCAAAGATCGCATATCGCCAGTGCGTTGCCTTGGCGCTAGCGACATCCAACACAACCTGCAGACTGCTGCGCACGCTCTCTTCCCATAGCTTTAGGCGCTCCTCGCGTCGAACCGCGACCTTTCGCTCGAGTCTTTCATCCTCCGGTCCAAAGGCGAGATGGGCACGGAACTGAGCGAGTGTACGCTCAAGCGGTGGGTAGTCGAGCGAGTACACCAAGAAGTTGGGTTCGACGAACGAGTTGATGCCGTTTTCGGCAACAGCGGCAACGCATGTTTGTATGGACGGTTTTTCGTGCGCTTGACAGGCAAATATCTTGCGAAGCGCGTCCGGAGCTAGCGCATGGTCTCCCATCGCGTACTTCACGAAGGTGCTCGAGTTAAAGGTCCAGAGCGCACCCTTCATCCGGTCATCTTCTACTCCTGGCTCAATGCTCTTGTATAGCACAGGAAGAACGCGTCGCCGGACGCCGTCATAAGAGCTGCTGAGAGAATCGAGAAGATTTTGACTCGATCTATAGCAATGATCAGTGAGAGTATCCATGTCGATTTGCTTCTCATCCTTACATCCTGACTATTACACGTCAGCAGCCGGCATCAACGAGCGGTTGGAACAAACTTACCAGTCGCAAAAGTCCATTGAGCCCACTCGGCCACGTCGTCGATGAGCGAATCTTCTAGAGGTCCACGCTTCCGCTCAATCGAGCTCCACCGTAGCCGTGCGGCATTGTACAACCGAGCGCGACGTATGAAAACCGAGCGTGGCCATGCTTTCTGACCTGGATATTGTAGCGCATAGTTGAGCTCCGAGTTATACCGATCCTTCAGCAAGTAGTAGTTGTCCTTGCTGTCGCCGTAATTAAGCATGTAAGTGCTTATAGACTGGAGCAACATTGATACGGCGTCGACGGTGTTCTCTTCGCCCTGTTGTCGTAACGAGACACTCGCGTCATGCAGGAACGTTCCGAAGCGTCGGCGCAGACCAGTATAGTAGACCGCACGCGGATCTTGGGGGTCGTTGATGGCGAAACCGGCGTTAAGAGGCTCGATGCCTGCAATCATCTCAGCGACTTCGTGCAAGATGTCGGTGCTCTCGGTGGTGTACGCCTGCTCCTCTCTTGAGATATGCTCGCGCACAATTGTCGGCGTTCCCGCAAATGCGTTGCGCACATAGGACAGGTATCGGCAGAAGTCGTTCCGCCAAACACTGTCGCGCGTCACGCCAGGTCGCAGCAGTCCTTCGAGATCGTTCATTGCAGACTCAACGACTTGCTTGAAGATCTCAATGGCGAAATCAAGCTCGGCGTCGTCGGGGACGTGCCATGAAACCTTGATCTCGTCCTGTGTATACAGCTTGCCCCAGAATCTGTGATGGTTGCGGCGGAAATCTGATCGTAAGATGAGCGACTGCGGGCGGTATTGCGTTTGAAAATACGAACCCTCGCTAAGCCATTCCTCGGGGTTCATGAATCGATCCTCGAGTGGGTACGTATGCGTGAGGGTAAGCATGAGACTCGACAGGAATCGACCGCCCCACGAGTATCCACGCTGCGCAAACGTCTTTCGGCGCAGAAGTTGTAGGAGCGCAATGATCTCGTCTTTGTACTTCAAAACGGCCTTGCCGTCGCTAACATATTCACGTGTCAGCGGTGAGAAAAGGTTGAGAAGACGGTGCCTCACTTGAAAACAGCACCTCGCAAGATGGCCAAGTCTAGCGGCGTACAGATGAGTACGATGACGCTCTAGTCTGAGGAGGCACTCACTCCAGTGAAACGTTGCGTCAGCCGGCATAGGTGTCGACTGCGAGCTCGTCGTGCGGACAGAGCTTGCTCCGCTTTCGAGCTCTATGCGTATGTTCCGCACGCAAAAGGGGAAGAACTTCTTGAGAGTCTTGGACGGATGTGCGTTGGCGACGCATTCAACGAGCTGATGGACAGCTCGCACAGCGTTCGGCCGCACATTCGTACTGGCGAAGTCGAAAACCATATCGAGGACGAGGTCGAACAACGGCTCTGATAGATGTGCACATATCTGGCTACAGGCGTTCGTCACCGAATCCACCATTTGCACTACGAATAGGCCGTTCAATATCTGTTTGGTGATGACGTTGAGTATGATCATACCTTCGGAGCTCCCACCAGACTCTTCTGGCAAGTTATCAAAGAGTAGGATGACTCGACGAATGAAGCTTGCGATCCAGTCTGTAAAGCCACCTGTCGCATCCCGCAGAAGCGCATCTTCCTCCCGCGCAGAAAGTTGAGGCTCTTCGCTTTCCGGGGTATGGGTGTCGCCACCAGCATCGCTAGGATAAAGGAGGAACTGCGACGGCATGATCGTCCCAGCTAAAGTCGGGCGGCGACCTCTGCCATGCGGCTGTGTCGACTTTCCCGTTGTTGCGAGGGTTGGCGTTCCAACCCGGGACACCGCAAGGCTGTCTGTGTATTGTCCATCGCCGTTTGAGTACCCATTCGATTTGGAGGCAGGCACATCAGTCGGGCGATGCGTCAGGTCACCATGGATGTCGTCCGTCGAGGGCAAAGCCGTAAGATCGCCGAACTTGATGTACTGTGATACCTCGATGAGAAAAGTTGTCGTGCAAAGCTAGACGTGTGTCAGCACCTGAGAATACGCATGTATCAGGCTATGTATCACAGTGCGCTTACCGTCTTGCCCGGATCATTCAGATCAATACCCGGAATGAGTAGCTGCAGGATCGGTACAAGATGCTTGGCGCCGGGATAGAATACGTCTCTTGAGACGAGCGTAGGCGCGATAGCCCCAAGGGCTTTGATGACCGCTAACGTACGTTGCGTCTACGGCTCGATGTCAATTTCAGGTATCATTCGCACAAACAATGACAGACCTCTGTCAGGTTCTCCAAAGCAGGTACGGCCCGCTCGAGGATTGGATACAAAATGAGATCCGGCTCCATAAGGCTCATCCACTTCAGACAGCTCGAGATGTTACTGACGGTGTTCGAATCTTCTGAAAACATCGATAGTAGCGCTACCGTACGCAGGCACTGCACAAGCTCGCGCTTCATATGCTTCGTCAGACGGCGGTGCTGAGCAGGACTTGAGCGAGAGCGCAGATAAGAGGGCGAGAGTAGCGTACCAAAGGCGTCTTGCAATCTGGCTGCTGCTCGGCGTGCCAGCCTGTTGCATGTTCAATATACAGTCACAGCGAGAGATCTGTCCCAACCTACGCTTATTGAACTCGTACGCTATGTATTTGATGAAAGCAGTCAGCTGATTCTCGCTGTCAGTAAACAGTGGCGTATATGCATCAACTATCACACCCACATCTGACGTCCAAGCACCCGAATTGGACGGGTGAAAGAAGCTCTCAGTCGACGCGATAAGCTTGATGAGCGAGTCCAGTGCCTTCGATCCTCCTATGTACGTTCTAAGCCCCGCGAAAGCTGTTTTATTCAAATGCGCCGTCAGATAGTCGCCAATCGAGGTTGGTCCACCAGATATGGGGGTCATGACTCGAGGGGTACTCATGCCGGACGCCATTGGTGTCATGTTGAATGGAGTCGGGTTCGCGGACGGTGCGGACGGAAGGCTGTCTGGTGCCATAGAGTTAACCAGGATTCTCGCTAAGGATACTGCGTACGCCGCTTCAGCCAAGCGTCAGATGAGGTAGCTCGTGAGCTTACAGATTCGCCATGTGGCCTTTGGTAGTCTGCCTAGCTCGAACCCGGCTTGATTGTCTGCTGATGGGCCCGTTGTGAGCGAACCGGAGTCTGCGAGTGGTATCTCTGAAATGCAGTCAGCGCGGATGCGGGGACCAGCCATTGGAGGAACACGGACCCATTGAGGCCAAACATTTGCACATGATGAGATGCCAATCATGCTCAGAGAAGATGCCCACGTCGCTGAAGATGCCCGTCCAATGGTTAGGTTCTTTGAGGTCGTCCCTCGGCCACTGCGGGCGGCCTTCACCGGGGGATAGCTCATCGTCTTCAGTCTCCTTGATCTTCTTCGGGTCGCTGATAGAAGGATCAAGGTGTAACTCCGTGAGTTTCGCAAGAAACTGCAACATGCGGTCATCAAACATGTAGGAGTTGACGGACTCCCACACGCGAAACAGCATAGGCATGTATGACTGCGGGTGGCTTTGCGGTAAGAACGTTAGCATGTAGTATTGCGACGATAGCAAACTCTGTAAGTTAGGGATTAGTCGCCAAATGGGGTAAATGTGGCGCTCAAGCGTACATCAAGCTCAGTTCCGTTCATGAGCGGTAGGAATGTGTATAGCATCTCGTCGATCGCCGCCGGATGAAAAAACCTGGATACCGCAGAGGCAATATGGCCCATGTAGTATGTCATTTGGCTGTGGTGGGCTCCTGTCAGTATGCAGTGAATGGGCACGCGACCGAACACCCACCTCACTTCGAATTGACGTCTTGTTAGAAAGAGGTCGCTGCGCAACGCTTGGTACAATGGTTGCCACGGTAGCCGTAGGTCATGTACGGAGAGTTTCTTCCGCGAGCGCGTGAGGGTGTCGAGGGCATCCGAGCAAGCGGCGATGATATGTAGGGGTACTCCGGGGGTCGTGCATAGATGGAAGTAGAGCTTGACGAGGAGTATACGCTTCTCTTTCGGGATGGGATAGCGCAGGTACGACCAGCTGCACAATATAAATGTGAGATCAACATCCCGTCGGGTCCGAGGGCCATGGGACGCACTATGTGAGCATGCTGTCCCACTGCAGGAATCCGGGGTCGTAGTCCTTAGCTCCGACGGTCTGCACTATACGCGTGCATATGAGGTCGAGCATGGACTGCATGCGCGAGTTGGGCTCTATCGAGTAGGGAAGACATTCCGCATAAGACTTGAGCTTCTGCAGGTACTTGTCGCCCGAGCTGGCGATGTCGTCCGGGACAAGCGGCGGCCCCGCGCCGGTGTCCGCCAGCGAGAGGGCGGCAATGTCCGGCACGTTCATCGTGCGGTGCAGACGTTCACAGGCGCTTAGGTCGGTGCTTAGGAATGTCGGTAGTCAGGGTGAAGGACAAGGTCGGGTCAGGAGCGGGTACATGATTATTACATGCTGTGGCGCCTCCAGCCATTGATTTCGTCACTACTCAGACGCGTCGACGCGTCAACTTCGCGCGGTTTCTGTTCCCGAACCCTAAATTATGTAGTGATTACACGCGGCGTCAGCTCCTATTTGTACAGTACTACAATCCTTCGGCCTCTGCTGCCTGCGCCTCCAACTCCTCCAGTGCGTGCGTCCGTACCATATACCAGACATGATCCCTGGTCGCCCGAATCTCGCCCAATGATTCCCGAACCTCCTCCAACCTCTCAACAAACTCGCGTGTATCTCCTTCTAGGTCACGCAGTGTACTGAGACTCTTATCGACCCGGTCCATCTGCATCTCCCGGCTGCCCAACATGGGCTGATGCCCCGGGCCCTCTGGGTAGACGAGCAAGCGGTGAGAAGCTGGCTCGAGATTCGGTGCGCGATTGATACGTTCCTCCTCCAACGCATCGACGTCAAACGCGTCCTCTTCGTCTTCCCGCTTCGGCACCACTTCGGCAATGGCCCTCCGGGCGTCAGCGCCACTGAGGGCGTGCCACAGCTTCCCTAACGCCCGCCGCAACGCCGTCTCGCCCTCGATGAGCCCGTTCGTCGTCCGCTCGAGATCCGAAAGCGTCGTGGATCGGAAAGTGTGCACCACCGCGCTGTCCATCACAAAGGAGGTGTATGTGTGGTGCACGGACTCGCTGGGGTCGTTATAGGGTGCCATGGACGGCGGAGAGGGCGAACGCAGATGTGGAAGGAGCGGTGGCGACGGCGAGCGCTCTTCTTCGCGGGGCATCATCAGCTTGACGCGCTTCCTCGCTCGTTCTTCCGCCTGAGCCATGCGTTAGAAGCCAGGCAAATGCCATGATTAGAATACCAAGCTTACCTCCCAGTCCTCGAGTCCAGGGCCCCACGCGGCTAGCTTCCCCTTGCGCATGAACCGAGTACCGCGCTCGTGCTTCTTGCCCCAGTTGCTCAGCGACGGCCCAACGGGATCCTGCTCTTCGTTATCCTCCTCGTCCGAATCCCCCAATCTCGGGTAATACCAGATGTTTTCGTCCGCTATGGGCACACGAAAGCTACCTTTCCCGTGAGCTCGCCTATCGCCATGCGAAAATGGTAAGACACACTTTGGCTCATTGTACGCCATGGGCCGCTTCTGCGCTTGTTGAGGAGGGAAGTGACTGTGTGACATGCGGGTACGCGATGCCGGCCTACTCAGGTTGGCAGGGTGATCCGTCGTCATATTGATAGACATCCTCCGGCAGCGCAAGGTCGCAGCGAGGTTATGATACAGCAATGTGAAGGCGGTAGAGGGCAGAGGGACCGAGACGCGTCGGACGCGTCCAACCCGCGTCGGTGGTTCGGCCCGGGGCAATATCGCGTAGCTTCGAACTTGCGATGACGTCGCAGGGTAGTACACAACGATTTCAGAACCACACCCCGATTAGAGCCATATGTGTTTCAATGGTAAAGTATACGATGATATGTATTTGTTCGTGCTATGCCTCAAGTGAAATAGACGCCGTATATCTGCGGGGGAAGACTGCACGGCCAACGCCCTTGATCGATGAGATCTTCCCAACGCTGTTCAGTCGAGCGAAATAGGTCAAGCGCCGCCCGTGCGGACTCAACCTATGGTCCCATTAGCACAGAGTTTGGTACAGGAATAAACGGCATACAGGATGCTCGGGCTCGATAAGGCCAAGACTCCGACCGAGAAAGCGGTTGGCGAGGATGGAAAGCGGCGGCATCTGTGTTGTCCGAAGGTGATGAAGGAATGGCTCAAAGACAGCGCAATCGCGCGTCGAAATGGCGGGGTGGGATAAATTCAGTGCCTGTAGCGCCATCTCAGTAGCGAGCGCTTTGCCAGGGCATAGAGCGTACGGCAAGAGAGCTCCAAATAGCATATCCGACGAGTATCCGGTTTTGGTGGATGTGTGCCGCAACTTGCTGTCGAACGGCGTCTATCGTAGGCGCTGTCGGGCCCATGCATCAGCTTGATCCGATTCGGGTCAACACCCATGCAATCCTTACCGACGTGAAGTTGCTGATGATACTGATGAGCGAGCGTCCCGTAGTGAGTGACGACCTGACTGAGGTAGAGAAGACGGATCTTAGAAAAATGAATGTTCGTGAAGGAACTGGCCAGGACTCACGTAGGTTGAACGAATGTATCGAGTAAGACGGTACCCCAGTAGTCCGTCAGTGCTATCCGCCTTCTGAATCTCAGCGTCACCAAAGCATCATCGCATCAGTAGGAACACACGCGAGCATGGGTGTTTGTCCCGAGTACACGGCTTGGGTTGAGATTGCAATGTAACTTGGCAACATTAATGAGGTCGAAGACTGCGTGAACGACGGTACTGCGTACCTCTGAGGCGGGTAAATTTTGGTAGAGACCGCGCTGGTCGCCGGCTCGTGACGGTCTCTGTGGGGTTTGCTGACGGGCGAACGAGAGTAGGGAGGTGGCGGGCTCTTGAGGGCGCGGTCGTGCGAAGGATAGCCAGACTCGCACGTCTTCGGGCGCATAGAGTACATAGGTCTGGACAGCGGCATCTTGCTTCGGGGTACTTGATGCTGAGGTGAAACGTCCTGTTAGTTGTGATGGCTAGAAAAGTGGGTTGGGGCATCCAAAGAAGTGGCTCGTCCGATGCATATATGCCCGTCTCCTCATGGGTCCAAGCATCGGCGGCTACGTTCGCTCGCATCGACCCTTGGGCCCGAGAGCGCGCAAAGAGCCTGACAGCATCAGTTGCAGGTGAAACGAGGCTCCGCTGTTGGGCATCGCACTGGATAACTGCGAATTGAAGGCTGCTAACGTCCTCATGGCCGGGTAACATCATACAATGGCCAGAGATATTTGAGAGACATATTGTGCACTGTACGCCCAGGTGTCTATTCCAGTTGTGGCCCTGGGGTACGTCAGAGCCTGTGTGTACCTGGATTAGAAGCTGTGTCAGGCATCAGCGGCTCCGAGCGCCTGAATTCGACTGCCGACAGCGTCAGATATCGAGATCCCGGGGGCACAAGATCCAGAATGAGTACGCTATGCCCAAGTCATCCCTTGGAATGCGTCGTGCAGCGTCAGATCAACTTGAAGGATGTCATCTCAGAAAGCTTCGCTGTCGTTCAGAGACAGAAGGTTCAGCAAGCCTGCGAGCGCCTCTCGGCGATCAAACGTTGTGATGAGCAAGTTTTGTCTCCGGCGGTCTTCTAGGAGTACAAGCAGATAATATACATAACATTCTAAGCTAGCGAAAGAGCACGCGTCAGCACAATGTGTCGTGCGACAATGCCCGCGCTCACCTTACAATAGCAAGTCCTACGATTCATTCAGGCTACAGCATAGCGGCGGCTGCCGACACTTGTTCGGTAGCCTCAACTGTAGGAGCAGGGTCCAGCCTCGCGCCCTCCTTAAGCGCCACGTTCTTCTGGTCAAACGACGCCATGCCCTCAAGACCCCAACGGGACATCATGGCTTTATCCTGACAAACGATGAGTTTGCTGGCCCGCTTCCAGAGGAAATGACTTACCTCGTCCCACGGCGAACAGGGCGTCGTCAACATCTGCTCGCCGGTGAATACGGCGTTTGCGCCGGCCATGAAACACATCATTTGCTCATTCTCGCTCAGTGTCTGGCGGCCGGCTGCCAGGCGAATGATGGTAGTGGGAAGAACGATACGGGCGGTAGCGATGGTGCGCAGGAGTGTCTGATGCTGGACAGGCTGAAAATTGCGATTCAACAATTGGTCAAGGGGGGATAACTCCTAGTTCACCTCATTGCCTTCAAGCGGCGTGCCGGGGATGGGGACGAGGGCGTTGACCGGGAAGGACTCCGGGTGCTCGGGCATGCTATGACAAGATCAGAGAAGCGAAGAGATCTCAGAGGCAATCGCCGCACCTGGACACTTCGTGAATCAAGCCGACGCGGTCTTCGTCGGTCTCGCCGAGGCCAAGGATGCCGCCCGAGCAGACGCTGATGCCAGCATCGCGAACGGCAGAGATCGTGTCGAGCCTGTCATCGTAGGAGCGCGTTGTGATGACCTTGGGGTAGAACTCGCGGGATGTATCGAGATTGTGGTTGTAGGCCGTGAGACCACTTGGGGGGACGGCATCAGAGCGAGGGACGTCAGAGCGAGGGAAGAGAAGCATCGACGCACGCTTCTTTGAGCTGCCGAGCCTGCTCGGGGGAAAGCATGCCAAGCGTGGTGCAGACCTCCATTCCCATGCCGCGCACTTCGCGGACCATCGTCAGAATGCGCTCGAAGCCGCGCTTGCGGCCCGCGAGATCTCTCCACGCCGCACCCATGCAGAACCGCGTGCTGCCGTTCTCCTTTGCTTGACGTGCCGCTGCCAGAACCGGCTCAATGTCCACCAGTTTTGATGCCTTCGTCGACGTGCTGTGCCGGGAGGATTGCGAGCAGTACGAGCCTGGCAGTTCGCGCGCCGATGAGCGTGCCGTCTGCAACGGGGGGGATCGGGTCACTCACAATCCTCGCTACAACCACCAGCTATCAGAGAGTAATCGTGTCGGCAAACGGGCTTCCTTGTACGATATTGAAAGCAGCGACTCACTCTTGATATTCATAAGAGTGCAAAGCTGAATCTTGCTTGGATCATGGTGCAACCTATGCACATTCGCAGCCCGGAAGACAAGATCGAGGAGCGGAGAGTCGTAGATCTTCTGGATCTCGTTGCGCGACCAGTCGTGACGGGTCTTTGAAGGCGTCGGCGCAGCCGCAGCGACCGCCGAAGGCGAGGCGTGGGTTGCGAGCGCGCGCGAGAACGCGGGAAGACGCGACGCAGATGCAGACAGGCGGTACATGGCTGAGACTGACGGCCTCGAGCGACGATGGAGGTGGTCAAGAGCAAGCAGTGGAGATGCCTGGCTGCAATGCCGACACTTGTGCCGTGCGGAATTACGAGTTGGCAGGCCAAGCGCGCTCAATGCAGAAGCACAAGCAGGGGCGCCAAACTAATGGGGCCTCCGGGGTTGGTCCCCAACGATCCTCCGCCGGACAGGACTTGATTCCAAACCACCACAGCCCTTTCCATGCGAAATCTAGCTGACTATCTGCGCGCCTGTTGTGAGCACGGTCGCATCACGGACAGACTTATGACCGGCCAAGCTATATGTATCGCAGAGTTTAGCATCTGACGCCCGACGGGAGGGCCCTGTTCTCTTGGAAGTTCGAAAGCTTGGGGCAGAGCTGAGATGGTTGCTCGGACCCTACAACTTGGCCCACACAGTTTCACCTGAATGATTATGCGGTACATTTCGCTGTCTGTTCTTTCATACATACCCGCAGAGTGGGCATACCGTGATATTTGGAGTCATCGCTATCTGCGATTGCATGCATAAAGAACGGAAGAACGAGTGCCAGCTCGCTGCGCTGCAACTCGGACGCAATCTCCAAGTTTATCGACGCTTTCAGTACGGATGGTGCGATCCGTCTCATGCTTGTATCTTCGACGAACCGACGAGAGACTGCTTGCCGCCATTGACTCCCGCAACAACAAACCATCGACGTATCTTGTCCGGGCACACATATGCCGTTATCTGTCTCGATAAGACATGTCCATCCAAACTGTGAATGTGTTACTGCTCTATCTCCGGGGACCATGGGCATGGGGCCAGCTTAGTATCTCCAGCGCACCGGACAACTCGATGGACTCGTGCGCAATAGATCGGAGGTCAGGGTTCAGGTCGATCTCTGGCCCTACACTCTCTACTAGGAAATATCCGCATGAGCCAGCACCAGGTGTTGCGTGCCCAAGGACGGCATTGGTGCTTGTGACGGCAGTGGAAGTACTGAAACGTACCGTCGTGTGTTTCCACTCCCCGACATGCAGTATGTGGGGCCGAAGCTTGGGGCCGCAATTGACTGGAGTATCAGACATTGGCCTATCTGTCCATGAGCGTGAACACGAGCGTGAAGCTATATCTTAGTCGGAAGTTTACCGTCATCTAGCACTCCAAAGACTGCATTAGACATGTGTGGTCAGTACGCCTAGTCCTCTACACACAAGCTGACGCAGTCCTGGACTTCCATCACAATGCCGGGCCTATTTACACTTGCTTTCGATGTGCTGCGGACACTGAACGTGTTATGAACGATACCTGATTTCCGGGACAAGAGGGATCGGAAGAATCTGTCGCTCTCCGCTACATGGCAGGGGGTCCTGATACGGAAGGACGTGTATATCTTCTATTATATGCATGCGTGGTACAGATATGGTATGCGTGAATGATTTCGTGAAAGCAAACAATGCAGGTGCGACGACTAGTGTACAGGACTGGGGACAATGCACGGGATGGCTGTGGAAGGAGGACTCAGAGCCTGTCGACAGTGCCGCGTCCGAAGTGACTCACATAAGTCCGGGATAGAGTGCGATGAATCAATTGAAATAGTTGCGAGTGGTGGCGATGGCGGGAGCTAGAGGTCTATATGAGTTACAGCGTTGGACGAGGTAGCGGGAGTGGAGAGCGTGAGGGACGACGTACCTCGGGTGCGCGACTTTGATGAGCGGGAGGAAGTCCTTGCGGTTGAAGAACTTGTGCGTTGGCTCGGCGACGTCGACATCGCGCGAGTGTCGTCTTGTGCTGCGCGCTCCATGGCAGCGCGAGCTGCCTCCCATTGGCGAAGGGTATGCTCAGCCAGCTCTTGCGAGTAGCGCTGCTTTTGGATCTCGACGGAGTAGGCGGCCATGGCAAGCAGAGGCTGATGTAGGTCGACGAAGGGAGAGGCTGGAAAGGTAGTGCGGGTGGAAGCTGTTGAGGCTTTGTTGTTGAGCGAAAGAATCATCGCGGGCAGGACTATATAGGGCCCCTACGTACACACGATCCAGTCTAATGAATTGGCCCCGCGAGGTACATCTGGCGTCTCCAGTAGCCACCTTCCAAGGTTTGACCATGACGCGCGAACACCGCTCCTCCCACCTCCGAGTTGCGCGCCTGTATCCGCGTGCGCAACTTGCTGGAGCTGGAGCGTTAAGGGGTCTCGAGCGTTCGTTTCTGTCCGACCCTGCTACCTCATGCTTACGAAGGCAAATATACCGTCAAAGGCAGCAGAACAGAAGCTTGCGCGCGTTGCCGGCGCACCAATGAACAATGGCACGAAGCAGAGCATGACGTGAGCCTAGATCCTGACCCTACATATCTGCCTGCCGAACGGAAGCCCATGACAGAAAATGATTCGACCCAGGCCAGTAAGTCGAAATCTTTGCGGGGTAGTGGAGAAGGACGTCATGATATTTGGAGCTGCAATGTACGGACCGCGCCGGTTCAGGGAAAAAAGCGGAAGCCCCGTTTAGATCGACCCCCACCCCGTCCTCGGAACCAAGTATATAAGCCAGTATCAGGGTATAAGGGTATACTTCGACGCGGATAGTCCTAGCCAATCCCAATCGGCTCTGCTTCAGGCGTACTTCGACCCAGGTCGCACGGTGCTAAAAGCAAGTGCGAAGCAAGTTCGGATCGGCTTGACGTAGTAGCACGAGGCTGAAGCGATCAAGAAGTGGATACTCAAAGGCTTGGCGTTCATGAAGACCCCGCCATAGTACGGTGATATCGGAGTATTGCTCAAGATAAACTTCTTGTCGTCAGCGTCGTGGCTTGTCAGCGCATGTAGGTAGTATGTACGCACCCTGACGGCCCCAAATATTGGGGGACCAGTCGACCAACGACAAACACGAGTGACGGCGTGCGATGCGATAGGCTCAGTGGCGCGCCGTCAATGCACGTCTGAGTCCGTGCAGCCCACGATACTGTGTATACTGTGTGGTAGAGACTTCCAGTGAGATGGCGATGAGATACCTTGAGGCGCAAATAAACTGGAGCACACGTGCAAGAGATAATGGTGCAAAAAGAGCGTCATGAGCTTCGTTGAACCAGCGACGCAGTCGCATTGTACGTAGACATCGAGACAGAAGTCTAAGTACGTAGAACGAGAGGAATGACACACAGCTAATAACCTGCGAATATGATATGGCACAAAGATGCAGATGGAGAACTAAACACGGGGAACACGGCATGCTACAGTTTTGGGAGGACCTCAGAAGCAGAAGAACAACGAAGACGGGAAGGGCTACAAAGGGCTACAGGAGTGATTAGGAGTGCGTAGGGTATCAAGAAAGATGTGCGAATGTCCGTTGTGAATGCAGTTGCGTATGTGGGTCATTGTCTGGTTTTTTCGTAAGAAGATCGAAGCATATGCATCCGGTGCCCAGCCCGGATGCGAGCGTCACAAAGGCATCAAGGTCGAGATGGAACGTGTCGGCCGCCAGGGACGGGAAAGTTGAGTGCTCATGCGCGGACGCGCCAAGTGCAAGTGGAGGAAGGGCCGTACGGCTGACGGATCCAGGGTGAGGCCATCTTTGGCGTGGGGGCGGGCGCGCATGGCAAAGCAACCTGACGCGGCAGGAAGGCCGGCGCAGGCGCAAGGATAATCTGTGGCGCAGCCTTGAGAAGCGTAGGCTTCTTGGGCGCACCGAGCATGACACCGCCGGTAAGAACGGTGGTCTTGCCGCCGTCGTAATTCGTAACCTCCTTCTTATTCGAGTCGATGACCACGCGGGCGAGACGGGCACGCTCGCGGCGGGAGAGCTTGGACGTCTCCGTTGCGGCAGAGGATGCAGTCGTGACGGAAGACACAGAATCTGAGTCGTCATCAAACAGCGAGTTGCTGGAGCTGGAACCTGAGCTGGACGAGCAGGAGCGCGAGTGGCGAGAAGCAAGTGCAGAACGCGGGAAGCGGCCTGCCTGGGGCGTCTTGAAAGTGGGTGCGGCGAGTTCATCGGCAAGCATGGCGAACAACTCGTCCTCGTCCTCCTCATCCTCTTCACGGAGGGCCTCCTCGAACATGGGGCTAAGAGGAACGGCGCACGCCCGCTGAGCCTGCGCACGGACACGGGCGGCTTCGCGGGCCAGGTCTTCGGACCAGATGGTCACGAGCTGGCCAAGGGGGTCCGCACCACGGCTATTGTAGCGAACGGACACACGGCCCGGGTCGACGAATAGGTCAAACTCGAGACCACCGAGAGCGGCCATCCAGTCGGACCATTCGACGTTGGCCGCACGGGCGGCTACGAAGATCGGGCGCGGAGGGTTCGTCTTGGGTGAAAGCGTCATGCAGCGACGACCAGAGCCGCGGAAGGGGTCGGACGGGGTCCACGAAGGTGCGTAGTAGGTCATGAGACCAGACTCGAGGGCGAGCTGGAGCTTGCCAATCGTCTCGTTGGAGGCACGGAGAAGCAGAGGACGCGTCAGGTACGCGATGGCGTGGGCAACAGTGACAGCGAGTGAAGTGGAGGCCATAGCGATTGAAGTGTGGATGATGCTGGTGAGTTTGAGCGAAGGGTTGGTGTCTCGGAAAGAGTGTGCGAGGGTATCGACCGGCGATGAGAATGCGAGTGTCAAGCGACGAGTGCTGAGTGCGTTAGAGGCTATGTGTGTAGCAGGGGCCGTGAAGGATACAGCGAGAAGTCTGTGAAACGCGAATGTCGTTCAGTAAGTATACATAGCTGATAGTATGGCGGGGCCTACCTCAGAAGCTGAACCGTGTAGTAGAGACGGGGAGAAATGAGACGAGAACGAGGAGAGCGATGCGATGAGAACGTCAATCGAAACCCGTAGGACGACGATGGGGAAGACCGCACCCGTCCGGTCCATACTTATATGACTTGGGCCTAGCGCCGGCGCGGCGACTTCCGTTTCCATCAAATGGAGAACAATGAGCAGGGGTTCGATTGAGGCGGTCCGTGTGAGGACGACGGGGCAGAACAAAAGGCAGCCAGGGGCGGGGGAACGAACGGCGGGCGCGGATGCACGTGATCCGAAGTACAATAAAGCCCGACGCCTTTCTGCTCGGTGGGCACGTTCCATGCCGGGCGGGCATCTGGCGTGCATCAGAAGCCTTGGCCGCGCCTGGGATGTGCCCACGCTGCACAATTGCGGTCATTCAAGCCATCGAACTTGCAGGGCGGGAGGACGGGGCGCACTCCCCGTGCAATTGTGGGCACACCGACGTGCACAGTAACGCGTCACGCACTATTATTCGCGGCATTAGAGACCCGCCCAGAAGATGTGCATCCGTCCATGAGTTTGAAGGGGTACGTTTTGGAGATGTACGTCGCTGAAAGACAAAAGACGATTGAATCGGAACGAAGTCTCGTCCAGCCAGAGCCGCTCTCGGCGATAGAACATAATCAAAGAGCAAAATTACGAGGAGTACGTTTCTATCAGAGACTGCGGGCGGCTGGTAGCCTGGTCCTGCCGATCGCGCGCCCTGCTAGTACACAGCTTGGAATGCCTATGCACACCCTGGCTCTGAGGCCGGAGTGCATGTGCACTGCCGGCGCTACTTGACAGAACTAACGGCGCGACAACTCTCGCTAACATCCTGGCCCAGCGCTAGGGTAAGCTCAAGATCTGCATCTGTAAGGCTCCGCATGGGGCGCGCACATCCAAAAGATAGAACAAGGGAAATAGATATGGCACAAGCATAATGCATTGGACATCTCGGCCTTCATGCTACTGAAACATAGCGACGAAGTAGCGAAGCCCAATACAAGGCCAATATCCGCTTGAACAACAAGATGGTCATCCAGAGGAGGAACAAGGCAAGGGCGAACAAACGCACCCCGATTGGGCAAGTGGAAAACTGCAAGCCACCGGAGTTTGCCGGGTGTGAGAATTTGGGTTTCTCAGTTTTGGGCGGCCCCGTGCCTCGCGCGTCTGCTCGCCGTCCATCGCGTTCCGTACACAGTTTCCGACGTCGTCGCCCACCAAAAGTCGCTCCTTGCAGCCATGGTCGGTGGGGAGACTATGATCCTGCTCGCTGTGATCTAATGATGAAGACAGACTCTCGCCGTTGACCTCCTCAACCCTTCCGCCGCGGCCGAGGCCCGCAAGCACAAGCTCAAGCGTCTTGTGCAGGAGCCCAACTCGTACTTCATGGACTGCAAGTGCCCCAGTGCGTAGCCATCTCGCTCGTAATATGACTCTGATGCTGACTATGTCGATCAGCCTGCTACCGCATCTCGACGGTCTTCTCGCACGCGCAGACCGTTGTCACTTGCCAGGGCTGCGATACCATCCTCTGCCAGCCCACTGGTGGTAAGGCACGGCTCACGGAGGGTGAGTAACACGGCTTATATGTGAATAATCTATTGACTGATACGTCACACAGGCAGCTCTTACCGCAAGAAGAACTAAACCTCTTCTACCCATGTATCCACCCTCATTGTTCTTGTGCTTGTTGTTGCATTTTCTTTTCGCTATCAGAATCACATCTCATGTAACAATATGCCGTATGGGAGAACATGAGAGCGTCCACGGACGCCTTGCAGGAAAGCGACTCTGAGAGATTGTTCATAAAGCGACGGCCATTATGTGTGTGGTATGTATGCGAGCTGGTACTCGACGCTCTGGATGCACTATAGCTTCGGTTGTGATTCAATACTCTTCTGTGGCTTGCTTCCCCCCGCACGGATGACACCTTCCTGTGTCATGGCAGCGAGTAGTTTTCCATCGCGCGAGTACATCTACCGTTCGTCAATGTCCACCCATCACGAACAGTGAGTGCCGCTTACCAAACCGCGAACATACCCCCGCCCCGATCCTGCAGCGGGCGAATCGACGACATACAGCATCCAATCTGCACAGTTGAATTCGTGTCTGGTGTAGCGCTTTGAGTAGACACAGGTGATCATGTCAATGAAATACTCACGAATAATACGATATGGAATGGTCCAGAGACGATGACATCGCTAGACTCTTCTTGTCATTCCCTGTTCTATGGAGACCCAACCCAGAAGCCGCAGCCATCAAACTGTTTACTATCAGCAGGTGAGTATGTGAAAAAGAGGTTGTGAAACTCACAAGTGCAGGTCCGAGACGTACGCCAGGATGCACTTCTGAAAGGAACCGTCCCACGCATCATTCTCTCGCGTTTTCAGCCAATACATCATCTGCGCTTGCCCAGCGGAGTTGGCTTGTTTGCCCGCCAACCGAACATCTATGGGGCTGCGTATGCGTGCTTGTGCGTGTCCGCGGTAGTACTCCCTCTTGCTGTCGCTCAGGCCCGGTTGTTGAGCCAAGTGTATGAGATACGCCTCCTCGCTGATTGAGTCCTCTGGGCTCTTGACGTCCGGCATGGAATACTGCGTGAAGGGCTGCGCAACTTCGGGAACGTGAAAGCTGCATAACATGGCGAACGCGGTCTTGCCCTGCTGGACCGCGCGCACCTCGCGCGTGCAGTACGAGCGTCCATTCCGTAGTACAGTCACGTAGTAGAGGATGGGCACGGAGTTCGTGACACTAAGCAGGAAATAGCACTAGGTGATGTTCAGTATCAGGGTGGCAACGTGCGGCAAAACCCAACATACATGTAGCGACTGCGATTGGCGCCATGACTTGGTAAGGCATCCGGCAATGTGATCAAGTAAACGATGGCGTACATGAACAAGATACTCGGGCGGCACACAGCGTGTTGCCGAGACGAGAGCTTGAGAAATGACCTGGCCACCGAACGCGCCCCGCGCTCGGTACGGCTTGTGCAGCTCCTTTGAGCGGAAGAGATAGGTGTCGAGCTGCTCGACGTCGAGTGCCGCCCCAATCTGGAGTACTTCTTGCTCGTTGTCTCGTAAGAAGACGGTGACTGAATCGTCTGAGGCCATGACGGGGTCCCTCTACACTCGGAAGGGTTGATGTAGCTGAAGCGAGAAGAGAGGGCGCCCGAGGTGTTGACCGGATGCACTCTCGGATGTTGGCATGATCGTGAAAGTATCGGGCGACCCGTCGCGGATTCACGGAAGATGTGGCCAATGCCCCTAACGCGCCGGTTATCACTATTGCCGGTCCCCCGAGGCGGACACAGCCATAAGTTTGTACAAGCCCGAGATATATTCCGTTCAAGCCAAGGCACCAGATGATAGTGAGCTAGGATAGTACAATAAATTGATAGCAGGAACCAATTCCGACCAGTTCTTCCGTCAGCTCAAAATATCTCCACCTCCATAGTGAAGCCGCATTCATGACAGATCTGCTTCGCGACGCCGTCAGGTCCAGGATTGGGTCGACCGAAGACATGCTTGTGCTCAGCGTCCTGCCGCCTCTGCCACACACCCTCGCGTGTGCGCTTGCGAAGCTCGCGCAACCCCTGTTCAAACTTATCCTGCTTCTTTTTCTTCTTCTGTGCCGTCCGCTTCGCATACTCTTCGTCAAGCGCCTCGGGTGATCCCCACTTCTCCCAGGCAAGCTTCTCCACTTGCATACGACAAAAAAGCATCATGTTGGAGTAGGTCGATTTATGAGGGTTCGCCTTAAGGAGGTGCGGCATGATCTCCTCGTCCTTGAGCTCTGAGTCGGTCAGGAGATAATCCTACACGACATGAAGTTGCACTCTTTGCTCGATAAACGATTACACGGACCTCTTTGCACTCTGTTTTGGTTAGCAAGCTATACTTCTCCGGAACCTCGTCCTTGCACTTCTTGCACACCAATATCTTGAACACCGCTCGATACGATGGGTCTATATCAATGGAGTTGCATTCATTGCATTTCGGATTCTTGCTCGGATCCATATGGTATACTGTACTTCATGTCAGATTTACCAAATCCTGAAAAGAGGTAGTACGCACAGGGTTCCGCGTTCTGTTTAGCACGCTGCTTCTCTCGCAACATCTCAATCTCCCGCTGCCTATCAAGACCTTCGTCCCCCTCCTCAACCAGAAACCCTCCCTTCGTATTGACCATCTTCGACAAGTCATAATCAAAGTACTTCCCCAGTCTCGAATCACGCTGCAGTTTCCCCTTGTCTTGTGCAGAACGCGTAGGTGAATTTGACGTCGCGGGAGTAACAGCCAGGGGTCGTTTGTTGTTCGCATTGGGAAGAGAAACGGAGGTCGAACAAGTCTCCTTCTCGCGTTGTTTCGCCTTTGCTGAGTGCCGGGGTCAGCGTCAATGACTATATAGGCAAACAGGAGCTCGCACCCCGTAATCTGTTTAGCTCCACTCGCTTCACTTGCTCAGGTGTGAGCTGCAGGTTCGTGTTGGGCACTCCGCGTGGCGGTGGCGTTGAAGGTCGATTACTTGGGCCTGCCTCAGACATGGATTTGACGCAAGGATATGCGGTATATCGTGGTCGTGGTTGAGAGTGAGTTCGGGCGAGTCAGCTCGACGCGTCAATAAAACGCGGTCACGTTCTCTGGACAGACGCGTCGCCGTCAAGCGCCGCGCGGCGCACTTCGATATTTTAAGTTCGACGGTATTTTTCGGACTCAACCCCGGTCAGACTCCGGTGGTATGATATTTAGTCAGTGATCGCATCTCACAGAGCAAGCCGAGCAACCGCGCGTCTGTAAAGGTCATCAAAAGCCAATATCGCGTCCGTGCTCTGCCATCTAACTACTACAGTCAAACAGGACCCCGCGGAGTATCAGATATCTCGAGCTCAGCATCTAGCGTTGGGACATCTCCTCTTGGCTTCACCGGAGCGGCTGAGCCACCTCCATCTACATCCATAGCTGCTGCGGCAGCTGCAAGCACACCAGGTGCCACGCCTGTGGTAACACTCGGCCCCGCTCCGCCAGAGACTGTCTGTATACCTCCGGCTTTGATCTTGTTCGACTCATGATTGCGGTCCCCTCCCTCTCCCTCGTCATCCGAGTCTTCAAACTCTCGGGGATCTTGTACGCGTGCATCGAGCGTCGCTTGGGGGCGCCGTTCATCAGGATCGAGCATGTCCTCATCCATGTTCGGATCATCCATTACTTCGTCAAGAGGACCAATGGGGATTTCTGACAGAGCATGCTTCAGTCACAGGAGGCCTGAGACAATACCGGGGCGTACCTTGCATCTGCACACTAGGAGGGCCTTGTATCTGGCGAAGCTGCTCCATGATGAAGGTCCTTATACGCTCCGTATATTGTGGCGTATTCAAGTCTTCCGCATTGGTCGGCTTGACATCCAGCTGATAGTCGGGACCGAAGTACTCATAGTACTCGTTTACGGGGATCTCTGAGGCAGAGTGAGAACCTATCGCGACAATCTCGACAAGGTGAACCTGCCTGGGGCCAATTCGACGCCATTCACCAAACCTGTCTCAAACGCCCAAGCTCGGCTTACATTGCGCATAGTGTATCCACCGCCACCTAGGAGAAGCAGAGGTTTTCCGAGTGATTTAACAAAGTCTACGCATGCAGCATGTCCTGTGGGGGGTCAATCTGGTGATGCTTCTCGGTCCGAGTTGCATACCTCTCATGGACAAATTGAACACTCCGAGCTTGTCTCCAGCCAGCGAGTCTGTACCGCATTGCAAGACGATCGCAGAAGGGTCGTACGTCGCCATCACTTGTTTGATAACCTGATTCGCATGAGAGACGTCCGATCTCGACGGTATGGAGACATACCGGTTGAAAAACGCTTTTATAATTTTCGTCGTTGATTCCATCACGAAGGGGTATGTTCACAGCGTAGTGCTTCCCCTTACCGATACCGATATCCTGTGTATAATGTCAGCTTCCACGAGATCGTGTAGAGTACCTTGATTTACTCGTAGCTCTCCAGTTCCTGGGAAAAACTCGCCGTACTTGTGGAAACTGACGGTCATGACCCGATCTGTTGTGTAGAAAGCTTCTTCTACACCATCACCATGATGTACGTCGATGTCGATATATAGTACTCGTTGATGGTATCTGCCATCGTCAGCTCCTGTCGGCACATCCGACGAGCAGAACAATCACCTCAAGAGCTCGAGAATACCCAGGACGATGTCTATAAGGTAGCACGCGTCAGCGATTGCTCTTATCTGCAGGGCAGGGGGGTGATTCACCATTGACATAGCAGAAGCCACTGGCTTCGCCCTTCTTCGCATGGTGAAGACCTCCGGCCCAGTTGATAGCAATGTCACACTTGTCTCTGCTCAATCGTGCCGCACCCTCTGCAGTGTGGTCTGAGGTGAATATTGGCGTATATCACTGACGGGACGAACCCATGGAGCCACCAGCAGAGATTGAGCAATAGTCAAATAGGCCGTCGAATACCGGACAGTCGTCGCCGACGTTACCTAATGGATGTGTATAGTGAGCGAGTTCCACAGGTGTCCCACACGGGAGTAGTACATACACTGATACGACTCCTTGTGGAAGGCATGGGCGTTTGCTGGCGTCACCTTGCTGAGAAAGTCGATGTATTGATCCGAATGGAACTGCGTCATCTCCCGTTTTGTCGCCGGTTTGGCGCGCTGATAATATATCGCTGTAAGGCAAAGAAGGTAGTCGACCAAACCAGATGCTTACGAAAATCTCCATCTTCTTATACAGGCCGTAGTTCATGACAAGAGAGTGGCACATTCGGATACGAGTCGGCTTCATGCTATGTTGGAGAGCCATATTTCAATTGAGCACTCCGATGGTGCGCCGACATGAATGAACTTACGGATGCCCAGGCCCGTAATGGAAGCCGCCGACATCTGAGTCGAAGAAGTAGCACTGAGACGACAAGTTCGGTAAACGCTGCTCCCGTCCCCACCCTACTCGGAGGCAGACAAATGCAACTCACCACGCGCTTATACGGCGCGCCCGCTATCGGGATCATCTCGCCAGGCATGACGGAGAAGCGTGCTATTTATGCGAGAGAGGGGGTGGTAGAGGTTGTAGTTCAACCTGCGAGAGGCGCGACTTGCAGCGTTGACGCGCGGCGCGCGTGGGACGCTTTCTGTATAAGCTCCAATTACAAGCCGTCCATCTTATTATACGGTCCCTATTATGCTACCATGTACGTATATCCATGTAAGAAAGCGTTGTAGTATAGCGGTACAGATGTGCGAAGCGGGGTAGGATTGTGATGAATCACATCTTGCTGGCCATGCCCTTCGCCACAAGCGTTGATGGGGCATAACCAAAGTGGTCATCCAGTTCAACGCCCTATAAGCGACATGTCAGACATGGATCTGCCGTCGATGCAGTAGACTTACAAGTTCTCCGGCAATGACACGAACCTAAAGGCAAGTTAGGGCCGCTCGGTGGATCCGAATGTAGTTTCGAGAGACGACGCACCATGGACCAATGATGGATTGCATGCAGTCCCGCGAACCAGAGCTGGTAGAGGTTGATGGGGTCAGGACATGTTGACCGCTTCACATTATTTGCAAAAATAGAACATGCCTCACGACCGACAGTGGACTGGAACGTTTGTTCGTACGGCGTTACGGCATTCAGTGTGAGCGGAGCGTTGAGCTGCATGTTGGGGATGAGGTCAGCGAGGCGCTGTTTGGTGTCCTCGAGGGCGTCGCGTGCTGCTCCTAGCCCTGTTTCCATGGGCGTGTTCCTTGAACGCTTGTCATAGTTGAGGACGTAAGGGGGAGGCGCCGCGATGCAGTCAAGGAGAAGGGCGAAGTGGTCGCGTGCATGGCGCAAGTGCTTTCCTAAATTGCGACGACAGTTGATTGAGCGCGGGACGCTGGGACCTACCGGCATAACAACACACCTATTGTCGATCCCGGCAAGAACTTTGACGAGTGTGTGAGTTGGTCGTCTGAACTCAACGAGTTTTCTATCATGTCGAGGGCCTGGTCTATGATCTTATTGCCCACGTCGAGCAGCTGATCGAGCTGTTTGGCCTCTGCGGGAGCCCGCTCGGGATCCTCACGTTCGATGGTAGAAGACGTCGTAGCTTGGAATTCTGGGCGTGCGGACATTGAGACGTTGAAGCGACAGCGGCAGGGCGGATGGGTGACGGAGGCAAGTAAAAGCGCGCGGCCGACACGTCCTGTGAACGTGCAAGCCGGTAGGCGGACATACTCCAGCCTGAAACGTCACGATCAATTCGGCATATGATAGGAGGTCAAGATGGCACTGAGATAGTGTAGAAGAAATGTTATAGGATTGGTATGTCTCTGTACACAAATTGTGGCTAGCCAGTGAGGCGTAAGGCTATCCTCACTCAAGGTCAGAATGATAGTCTGCCAGGAGTTGCGCCGGTGCCGAGCAAGTCGGCAGGTGACGAGACAGGAGACGCACTCGCACGGATGCGCGCCTCTCCGTCGTCGTCGTCCTGGTTGAAGAAGAGAAGAAGTTCTCGAGGCGGAACAGGAGTGCACAGCGGTCATCCGGACCGGCAAGTCTCGGAGCGCGTCGCGTTAAGTTGAGTTGGCGCACGCGCTTGCTCTGCACCTCCTCCACCCAAATGCTCTCGACACTCAGGAAAGCCGGTACTTTCGCTCGCGTGCGTGCGCAAATATATCTCCGTCTGAATAGACTCTGACATGCTTTCTTAGGCCGCATCTGCGGGTCAGAAGCGCTTCCTCTCCATTCACGAGTACCAATCCGTCCAGGTACTCAACTCGGTATGTCCCCTACGCTATCGGAGCCGTTCGTGCGACTCATATTCGTGTGATAGTATGGTATACCGACGCCCAAGAGCGTGGCCGCCAAGTCAGTCGACGAGGCAGCCGCCGCTTTCCAGCAGTTTGGTGAGTTTCTTCCGTTGCGGGCTCGGGTCAGGGTTCTGAGGCCGTCGTCCAGCGGAGAAGGGCGCGGTGATCAAGGCCCAGGTTCTCGCCGGCGGTCGCGGCAAGGGCAAGTTCGACAACGGTCTGCAGGGCGGCGTGCACAAAGTGACAACGTGCGTGCGCGCGCTACGCCCGTTGGCCCGTGATATTGATGCGCATTGCACAGCGTCGAGCAGGCCAAGGACCTCGCTCAGCAGATGCTCGGCGCAAACCTCATCACAAAGCAGACCGGCGCTGCTGGCCGCCTCTGCAATGCCGTGCGTGACATCCCCCACTCTGCCCGTGAACGGCGTTTGACAACACTCCGCAGGTGATGTTCGCCGAGCTGCGTCAGCCCAAACACGAATACTATGCCGCTTTCCTCAACGACCGCGCCACGCAAAGCGTCGTTCTCGTCGCATCTAATCAGGGCGGTATGAATATCGAGGAGGTGGCCGCAAAGGACCCCAGCGCGATCATCACGACGCCCATTCCCTTCGCGACTGGCCTCACGAAGGATATCGCACTTGACGTCGCAAAGAAGCTCGGCTTTTCCAGCTCCGACGCCGAGGAACAGGCTGCGGGCATCTTCATGAACCTGTACAAGCTCTACAAGGAGAAGGACGCTACTCAGGTGGAGATCAACCCGTTGGCCGAGACGACCGATGGCGCCGTGCTCTGGTACATATTCTCGCCTGTCATGTTCCGCAGACAGATCACTCATAGACTCTAAAGCATGGATGCAAAGCTCGGCTTCGATGACAATGCGGACTTCCGCCAGGAGGACGTGTTCGCGCTCCGTGACATCACACAAGAGGAGCCCTCGGAGGTCGAGGCGCAGAAGGCAAACTTGAACTTCATCAAGCTTGACGGCTCAATCGGCTGTCTTGTCAATGGTGCCGGTCTTGCTATGGCCACTATGGACGTCCTCACCCTGCACGGTGGCCAGCCTGCCAACTTCCTCGACGTTGGTGGTGGTGCGACGCCGGAGACAGTGAAGAAGGCGTTTGAGATCTTGCTCGCCGATCCAAAGGTCAAGAGCATCTTCATCAACATCTTCGGTGGCATCATGCGCTGCGACTACATTGCAGAGGGCGTCATCAAGGCAGCTTCCGAGCTCGACCTCCAGATCCCCCTCGTCGTCCGCTTGAAGGGCACCAAGGAGGCGGAGGCGAAGGAAATGATCCGCTCGTCTGGTCTGAAGATCATTCCCTTCGACGGTCTCGACGAGGCAGCAGAGCGCGCCGCCCAGCTCGCCAACGCATAGCGGTGCTGATTTCTCGACTGTCCTCTCGCCTCTGCATTCCTTCGTGTCCGCTTAATATTGCTACTTAGATTATGTATGAGCAAGGTGCTTCGAATCCTTACCTACCAGATATACCATATAACATGTAGGACCCGCGGGCGAACCTCCACCGCACGCAATATATCGGGCTATAACTATCGAGCCGCTGCCGCGTCGGTTATGTAAGGCCTCAGAGGACTCAGAGGAGTGTACAACGATGGTCATGACTGTGTCGCTCATCTGATACAAGTTGTCAAGCGGCACACCTCGACTTACCACCGAGCGGAGTTGTGAGGTGTACATTCCCGACAGCTTCCGTCAGTATCATCGCAGATCCCAGCTTTGGCGAGAGCTTCAAGTTCAACCACGACATGGCCGTATGCGGTTCTCGAATCACAACCGCCTTAGACAGCGCCGGTGCTGACTATCCGCCCGTGTCTGATAGGTTTTGATCCACCGCCGACAGAAGTAGTACCTGTGTACGATAAGCCTCTGCACATCTTCTGTACAACTTCCGGATGAGAGCTTTCGCGAGATTTTCCATGCACTAGCGGACATCGGCCCTCCAGCGTGGTCGGCTCAATCCTGGCCATCCAAGTGAATTGTGATGACACACAGTTGCCGTCGCTGGCGTCATATAAGCATCGGCCAGTGGTCTATTCGCATGCAGATGTTGTGGCGGAGAGTTCACGCCTCGTCAGGACAGGCAGCGTGAAGGGAGGAGGGCCATACGGTGTAACGTCGTGGTGCAGGGAGACAGGCCGCAATGGCACCGATGACTGACTGTCCAAGGCATCGGTAGATCACTCTGGAGCGCCAATGAAAGCTCGCATAGTCAGTTGCTCGTGCCAATAATAGGGCTTCTGGAGAGCGGGGTAGCCTTTGCGGGGTAGAATCTGTGACTCAAGGAGGCTCGTCCATTGCGACGTCGCAATCGTGGATGCGACACATGCATTCTATGCTCGCACACTGACTTTCAGCTATCCGCAGTAGCCATATAGGGTAGACATCTGCATAGTCTCACATGGAGAGGAGGAAGAAAGCAATGTCTGTATTGCGAATGCGGAAGCGAAAAGCACAGCGAAGAGGACCACTAGCATACGTATTACTTCTTCTCTTCAGCCGGAGGAGGAGGCGGCAGGGGCTTGAACTCATCGGGCTTGCGAGGCTCGACGCCGTCGCCGACCTGTTCCCAGGGCGATAGCGACTCGAAGTTACTGTATAGTAGTCAGAAACACCACACAACGGCGTGATAGAAACGCAAATGCGTACCGGAAGGCCTGAGTGAGCTGCAACGGCTCGTACACGACCCTCTTCTTTTCCTCGTCGTACCGGACCTCGGTGTAGCCCGTGAGCGGGAAATCCTTCCTGAGCGGATGTCCGTCGAAGCCGTAGTCCGTCAAGATCCTCCTGAGGTCGGGATGGTCCTGGAAGAAAATGCCATAGAGATCAAAGGCCTCGCGCTCGTACCAGTCCGCGCCCCTGAAGATGCTGACGGCGCTAGGAACGGGCGTGACTTCGCTGGCGTAGGTCTTCACGCGAATTCGGCTGGCGTGCTTGACGCTGAGGAGGTGGTAGACGACCTCGAAGCGCTCGTCGCGCTCTGGGTAGTCTGCGCCGGAGAGGTCCATGAGCTGTTTGTACTGGCAGCGCCCGTGGTCGCGGAGGAAGGTGAGGACTTGGAGGACGGAGGAGGGCGCGCAGTAGAGGGTGAGCTCGTCGCGGAGGACGGAGAACTGCTGGATGTGCTTGGGGAGGCATTGGGTGAGGTACGAGCCGTAGGTGTGCAGGGCCGCGCCCGCGTCGGCGTACTTGGTCGCCGCGTTGTTCGGCGACGTCGGCTCGGTGAACGGAGACGCCGACGCTGGGTGCGGGGTTCAGTTTCCACTGTTATTCGAGTATATAATCTGCACACACCCTTTGTCGCGGCCGAGGCGTGCACTGCGCGGACGGCGACGGCGGCACGGGCAGCGGCGGGGCGGGCGGCCGCCCTGAGCACGGCACCTGCGGCAGCACGCAGGGACATTGTTGGTGGTGGTGAGGAGAGAGGGCCGTTCGCGTTCCGGCGGCTTCTTCCGATCCGCCACTCAGCGCCTCCACATTATATTGCACGCCGACATATAACCATCTTGACCGCTGACGGCCATGGACCCTGCCGCACCCGCGCCCGCTTTCTTTGACTCTCTGCCGTACTATGATGACGATCTGGAAAAGTATCCGATATTGAGGGAGAGGGTGCAACATGAACTCGCGGTCGAGACACAGAAGCTTCAGCAAGGCCAGAAGGGCAAGTTGCATCCCAGCTTGAGCGAGGCGCGCGAATTCTTCAATGTATGTATGGATTTATTTGCCATCGTAAAGTGCTCATAATGACAGTAGGGGAGGCCCTTGATAGAGTCTGAAATGCAGCGCGTGGAGGCCAAACAGCCTTTGAACGCGATCGACACCGCTCGCTTCACACTGCCCACACCAGGAGCGGACGCGACGGAGGAAGAGTGGAAGGCGGCGGTGGACAACGCGCGAGTGCAGCTGGAGCATCAGAAGATACGGTGCGTGGTAAGGATATATTACACGGAAGGAGTCTGAAGTGAATGTGGCGCAGGCATCATAACCTGGCGTTGTTGCAGCAATACGGCGCGAACGCGTGGAGGGTGCACAATTACTTGCTGGAGGCGGATGCGAAAGTGGCGGAGAAGCTTGCGGAGGGAGTGAAGGAGGAGACGACGGGGGTGAACCGGGAGAGGAAGAACGGGCAGGTGAGCGAACAGGCAGGCTGGGATGTGCATTGTGAACTAAAGGGGAAATTGCAGACGCGGATAGGAAACCAACTGACGTCGCTGGAGAGCCAATGGCAGCAGAGCATCGGGAACAATCTCCAGCTGACGATGGCCAACGCGGCGCTGGAGGCGGAGACGCACAGGCTGAGGATGCGGGAGCAGGAGCTGTCGAGTATGCTGTACAATAAGTAGAAAGTAGTAGTAGTGATAGTGACGCGCGCCTGTTTTGGCGATTGATCTGTTTGGCTCTCGCGGCCAGGACCCTTGCGATCGCCGGCCGCAGCGTCTGGGACGCGTCCATGAGCTCTGAAGCGGCGAACAAGCAAGCAGAGCCTCCCAGCGAGTGCTCCCCCGCTCCCGCCCCGGCCACGCCCAGCAAGCAGCCCGCGCCGAAGAAATACGCCAACTTCAACATCAACAAGAAGTTTCTCGACAAACAGCACCCGCCCTCCCAGCCGGCAACTCCCAAGAATGGCCCAGCAGCGTCGTCGTCCA